AACACTCTTATGCGCATGTTTGGCGTCACGTAGCACGTGAACTTATTATGAGCGGGCAGCTGATTAATTGTCCCTCTTATACAACCTAAACACACCAAGTCTGCCAGTACGAGACCCTCGTTCAATGAAATAACCGAAAGAAGTGTATACCTAAGAGCTCGTTTTTTCGTGTTTTTAACACAGTATAATGAGATATAACAGACAGTAATGCCAACGAATGTACAGGGGAAGTTATTAGAACCAATGGAATGTAGATAAGAAGAAAGAAAAGTGGATGAAGAAATAACCAGCCGTGGGCAGATATATATACATGTATGTATGTATATATGTGTATATATATATATATATATATATATATATATATATATATATATATATATATATATATATATATATATATATATGAGTATATGCGCGTGTGTAGCGGAAACAATACAGGGCTGGTACTTGCCCATGTTTTGTCTGCCACGAAAGTACATACAGATGCACGTGACAAAAAAAAAAACGTTCCTGAATGCTTCCAGGCTCGGAAAGTAAAGCTTACGGTTTTCGGGAAAATAAAGCTGTCTGTGCAATAAGAAGATCGCATAGTATTCTTTTTTTTCAAAGCCATGCAGCCTCTTGAAATTAGACTAAGTGGTTTTGTACACACGCATACAAATTTGGTTCGTGTAGGGAATGCAAGACGCATCAGTAGAACAGTCCGTGTGTCCAGCAATCATGGTGGGGTGGTCGGCCAGGCCTGATTAATGGATCGGACGTGGCTTCCCGCATCACCAATTCGGTTCAGTCACTCAACTTAATGCGCTAAATGATCGTATTTGCCGAGTGTAAGGCTTGAACGAATTTATCGGGAACTATTGCACATGATTTAGAACTAGAATTATCGCAAGCTAGTTGGGCGGAAATCCGTAAGCTGCATTTTCTTTCAAATTTCAAAACCTATTTGCTATTTTTGGATTTAGAAGAAGCTCAGAAAGTGCACATTGAACCATTTTTCCTAGGTTACGATTTTTTTACGTTTCTGAACAAAAAAGAGCACTAGAATAAAATGCACTTTGCAGCTTTACTTACCGATTGTGGAAACATTTCTTCGCACTTTCTTGTTGTGTTTCTCAGCTTCTCATTCACATCTAGCGGGAGATATGAAAGAAAAAAGTGCATTTTTTCTACTTTCTCCTTACAGAATGGATTTATTGCGCACATAGTACTACTGCAACTCATTTCGATAAATGTAAAATAGTTTGTATAACAAAAAAGAGAACTACAGAATTTTTGTGCGCAATACTTCCACAGAAACAAAGAAAGGAACATTGGCAAAAATTATTTTGCATATGAAGCAAGGTTGTTAAAAAAAAACGCACCGCTTCTGTAGGGCTGAAATAGTACTTTGCTGTGAAGGCCGCAAAGAATAAACATGGTACTTTTCAAGCGTATACAAAGCGCTTCTTCAATGAATCTGCTGAATCAAAAATATACCCAGAATAATTTAACAAAGTATGTCATTCTTATACTCAGAGCGCAGCCTCAGTAATCTAGATTGCGCTAATTTTGAATACGATCGGGTAGATTCGAACGTGAAAAAGAAAAAAAAAAGCTTGTGTACGCATCACAAAAATTAGCTGTGCTAAGCTTCGCTATTTCCATTATTTACTATGAAAAACTTGCAAGCTTGGAAATTTCACGCCACTGTAATTTTGAATGTCGTAGGAGCATTAACTATAGGTCATGACCGTTTGAATATCGGACACAGCAATGAACTCAGTGATATGGCGATGAATTTCGCGTTGGTTTCCTAAACACGTTATTGCGGACAGGGCCGTGCTGACAGAATACTGTTGCTTTGGTAAACAGCATAGCAAAAAGCGTTCTCACATAAGTGCACTTTGTGCACTTGTGCTATATATACGATATGTCGCTAACTTCCCCCTTCTATTATGTGCTATACCATGCCCCGGTGTGAACACTCGTACGACGTTAGTACAGTATTGTGAATACAAAGCTAGGAAGCGGTACTCGTTATTTGTCATCAATCCAGCATTCTACTTCAAGAACCTTCGACGTATATTACCGCTGCCATTGTTGACGCTGAATAAAAGCAAAAGCAGCGGCCGGCACTTCATGGTCCGAGACAGAGGAAACAAAACATTGGAAGTGAAAAAAAAAAGCAATGCCAGATGACAGGAACTCGTCTGTAGCTCCGACTTCTTTCATCTACTGCATGGATTGCAACAAACGGGACGGAACAAAACTGCTCATCGGGCCGCTTCCGAACTAACCGCAGACGATATCCAATGCAGTGCGCTTCGGTGCCACACTCGCAGAGAACGCGAGTCGGTTGGCCCGTGGGTGGTCGAACAAGAGCAGGACGACGAGCACGATCGCTGCCCAGGACGACGGCTTCCAACGAGAAAGCGCCTTGTCAACGTTCTGTTCCTTCGTCGCAGATGCACTCTCTCTATATATCTACCGCGTACTGAAAGCCTTCTCCGCGTCTCACATCACCGCCCGTGCCAAAGTCGCGGGACAAGGAAACGAACCTGCTATACGAGGCCCGTGTACATGGACGCGACGGGGGCGGGCTGAGTTGAGTGGCGGGTTCAGCTTACCTTGACGCGCCCGAGTTTATATAAACTCGCACGGATGAGTTGAAGTGAGCGGTGATCGCAGCGACGCTTTGCGTCGAGGCGAGCCGAAAGCCCGTCTTCCGGTACCGGTTTCCGCTCCTCCAAGCCTGCGCTCTCGCCGCTGTGGGCTGCGGTTGTTTACGCAGTTGTCGCTCCGCCACCGCGATGGTTGTCTTGGCTAACACTGCACAACGCGATGGCAGCAGTGGTTCTGTTGCGGCACAGCACTCGCCGCAGGCGTATCCGCAGCCTGACGCACCGTCCCCTGTTCACCTCTGGCTATAAAAATTTCTGACTTTGGTCAAGAACACTGCATTGCTTCCCCGCAAAGCACATTAACATACACTAGTAGTGAATGCGTATTAACAAGGAAATGCGGTTCTTTTTCTACCGACTGGAATCGTTTTACCGTGCTGCGTATGATATTTCACTTTTTCGAAGTTTCGTCGCAACCTAACTGCCACCATATTTAAGAAATTAAAATTTTCTTTAGAAAATTGTTTCCAAAATTGAATAGTGTAGTAAAGTGACCAACCATTACTTTTTATAGTGTAATCGTAGATGGTTTAGCGTACTGTCTGGGATAATTGGCGTGGAACAACCCTCATCTCCTCCAAAACCCGAACAGTAAACCCGAAAAAACGTTCGTAGTGCCTAAGTCCATTCAGGGATTCATGAAACACGAATTAAAAAGAGCGAAACCAACCCTGGACTACGCTTTGCCTCTGGGGGAAATTACATGTATTGGTAAAGGCACTTAATTTTTGAGATCTCTTGCTTGCACCATCGGGCGGTCGCCAAGCAGAAGGCTCATTTTGTCAAACCACTTCCACTTTGACTGCTCCCCGCCGCTTTTGCATAGGAGCAGGCGTTCCTGCGAATGCCGAAAAAGTCATTAGAAATTAAACCGCCTGAAAACTTTTCGAATCAAAGCGAACAGGGAGGTACTTACAGCCGTGAAGCGTTTCTTCAAATTCTTCCAACAGGTCCTTATTTGCTCCCACGTCCACGTCAGGCCCTGTTCCTTCAAACATCTTTCCAGGTCCATGAATATGTCCTTATTTTTTTGCCGCTTGCTATCGAGCAAATCACTCAGTTTTTTCTCGTTGACTAAAGCTAGCAACGTCGTTATTTTATCATGTGTCCACATGGAGCGTGGATCCCGCGAGGATGTCATCGTGCCTAGCGCGCGCGTACCGGCCGACAGAGAAAGAGCAACGTCGGAGTGATGGGGACAGGGCAAGCGGAGACCGCGACGGGCGGGAGAGGTCACGAGCCGTCAACTCAGCGCGACCAGTTATACATGCCCTTTCTGAGCGCGGCGAGTTCAGTGAACCTACCCCCTGTCTCCGGGTCGACGGGACTCGCCGCGACGACTCTCCGCCCCGACGCGTCCGCTTATACATGGGGAGGGCGAGTCCAGAAAACCTATTTATTTCGACTCAACGCGCCCTCGTCGGGTCAATGTAAACGGGCCTACGGTGCCCTAACCTATACAAGCGCCTGAAGTCTCAAAAGGAAGGACAAAGTTCGTTAGCATTCCGTGTAAACAGCTGCAAGCAAGCAAGCGGGTGTGGGTACGGTTGGGCGACCCTTATATGGAATGACGTGAGCGCCGTGCACTATTGCGACAGGTCATCGCGGCATCACTCACACATTCGCATACCGGCGCGCCCACGCACTCGAGAGAAAGTGGGGCAATCCGCGTTCGCAAACACTTCCTTTCTCCCCGGCTCGTTGATCGACTATGGCTGCCGGCTGGACCCGCTGGACTAAGTTATCGTGCTCTTTTTATAAGGCGGCACAAAGCGAAAGACATACAAGCGTTCCGTCAGAAAGGGCAGTGATCCCGAAAACAAAGTTTCAAGTGGTCCCGGGAAACTGAAGACGACGGGTCGGCGCTGTTTCCTGAAGAACTGAGCATGTTCATACAGCGGCACGGCTTTAGAGGAAGTCGTGTGCGCGCGAAGACGTTTCCTCACGAGTTTGTGTCGTAACAAACGCGTATTACAAAAAGAAAAAAAAATCGAAAGAAAATACGGCTTCGGCAACTGGAGGCAGGTTATAGGTAGACGGTTACAAATGCTGGCAACACGACAAAGGTTATGTTTTAAATGAAGTGTCTCATGTAGCGTTTTAATGTTGCCGCATTCAGTATAGGTATACGAGATAGAAACACAATTGACTGAACAACGCCCCCGTCCTTCACATGGCAGCAGAGGCGGCAGCCAAGCTCGAGGACTAAAACACTACACATCTTTCACGCAGGTTTGTGCCCAAATTCCTGCTTGTTTCTTGAATTTTCGCCTGTCTCGTTTTGCTGCTGCTGGTGTTGCCACAAGTGTTCTGTTGTCTGTATTGACTCGTTGAGACATGGCGAAAGAGATAAGAGCACTTTTCGAGGAACTTAAGCGTGAATTACGGGCTGAATTTAAAGGCTTCAAGGAAACACTCGAGCGAGACTTTCGTAATGAGCTGAGGGAAATTAAGTCCTCTGTGGCTTCCTTAAATACTGATTGTGAAGAAGTAAAGGCTGAAAATGTAAAGCTCAAGGCGACCAACGCTATGCTAGAGGCCACGTGCGCTGATCTTGCTCAAAAGGTGAAAGATCATGAGAGTAGGCTGCTACACCTTGAGCAGTATTCTCGTAATGCAAATGTGGAGCTCAAAGGTATCCCGTACAACGCCACTGAAAACCTTATAGATACAGTGATCAAAATTGGCGAGAAAGTAGGTGTACCACTTGAGGAAGCCGATTTTGAGTCGGTGCACAGAGTACCAACCTCCAATCTAACAAAAAAGAACGTAGTAGTTCAGTTCGCACGGAGGCAGAAGAGGGACTGTTTCCTCGAGAATGCGCGTGCTGCCCGGCTCAAGTGCTCTGACGTAGGCTTTGACTCGGAGGAGCCGTTCTTTGTTAACGAGCACCTATGTCCAGAGCTGAAACGTCTACTAGGTCAGGCTACTGCACGCAAACGCGAAACTGGTTGGAAATACGTCTGGGTGCAAAATGGCAAAATTTTCGCACGGCGCATGGACAGCGCTCCAAAAATAAAGATTTCATGCAGTGGGGACGTTGCTAAAATGGTCAACCCTTTATGAAAGCTGGAAAATAAGACCAATGTTCCAAGCTTTGAAGGAGCTCTTTGTGGTGCTATGGCGTATCTTATCATGCCGTTCATATGTGTTAAGGAGACACATAGTTGTATATGTTGCGATAGTCTACCCGGAGCAAAGGCCACATGCGCATGCGCTGTTCGCCACACATTTGTTCTCTTTCCGATATTTGTTGCCTGCTTTTTTAATTTTGTCTTGTGTGCTTTAATTTTGGATTTGATTGATTGATTGATTTGTGGGGTTTAACGTCCCAAAACCACTATATGATTATGAGAGACGCCGTAGTGGAGGGCTCCGGAAATTTTGACCACCTGGGGTTCTTTAACGTGCGCCCAAATCTGAGCACACGGGCCTACAACATTTCCGCCTCCATCGGAAATGCAGCCGCCGCAGCCGGGAATCGAACCCGCGACCTGCGGGTCAGCAGCCGAGTACCTTAGCCACTAGACCACCGCGGCGGGGCTGCTTTAATTTTGGAAGTACTGGTTTGTAGTTGCCGCTTTTGCTTTTTTCTGGATTGTTTGCGTTTATGCCTGTATCGCGACATGAGTTGAGAAACAACTTGGCTATGTTTTTCTGCCCTTGTTGATAAAATCTGTAGGCACAGTGATATTTTTCGTTGTCTGCTTCTCACTTGGAAGTATGTCACTACTTGTCTGCAAACTGACAGCACTTCTATGTTGACCCATAATAATCAGCAATGACTTTATCTTGTATTAGTCCAACCACACTCAAGTCGGATATTGTTGAAAAGTGTAAATCACCATTAACATTTTTACATATGAACATGCAGTCATTACGCCAAAAACATGATGACTTTTGCATTTAAATAAACGAGTTTGGGTTTTCCTTCTCGGTTATTATGCTGACTGAGACGTGGTACTCTGATCTTGATACCATACATTTAGATGGCTACAGTGCCGTTTCTTTGAATAGGAAATTGAAAAGGGGAGGTGGCGTATGCATGTTCACAAAACTGGGATTTACCTATGACCTCCTCGATGACTTTTCTTGGTCCACAACGGACATTGAGGTAATTTGTACAAAATGCGACAATTTTGTATTTGCTGTCGTGTATAGGCCACCTGAAGGTAACTTGAGCGAATTTTTCACGTTTCTAGAGGCTATTTTCTCGTTTGTAAACGTAAACCAATACTCTTTAATTTTAGGAGGTGACCTAAACATTGATATGCTGACAAAAACTCCTAAACAGGGCGAATTATCTGCAATTCTCAATTCCCAGTTTTTGTTTAATGTAATAACCACCCCCACACGTATCACTGCAACTAGTGAAACTCTTATCGACCTTTTTATTACTAACCTAGCAATTAATGACTTATTTTCTGGTACCAATAATGTGACACTTAGCGACCACCTGCCTATCTATTTAGTAACTGATACGTACAATACGGCAAAAAATTCACTGTAAATATAATATATCAAGACATCAACGCGGTTACACTGTCGCAGTTCCGAGATGAACTCGCCAGGACAAGCTGGAACGCAGTTTTTGCGTGCTCTACGGCTGATACTGCATATGACCATTTCATAGAAATTTTTTCTTCGGTATATAAAAAACACTTTCCGTACAAAAAAATAACTAAGCCAAACCGCGCACGTAAGCCTTGGGTAACGTTAAGTATATTGAAAATGATACGTACGAAAAACAGACTGTACCAGGTGTTCTTGAAAAATCGCGATTTGAATGCACTGAAAGCGTTTAGGGCCTACAGAAACAGTCTTTCAAAAACTTTAAGGCAAGCCAAACGCGACTATTACCATACTCTTTTTAACGGTATTGTAGATGTCAAGCAAATGTGGAAAAAATTAAACACAATTATATCTTCAAGTAATAGGACGCCAGGTGTCGACGAAATTACAATTGATAATCATATATTTAAAGGAAAAGCATTAGCCAATAAATTCAATGGGTACTTTACTTCTTTGTCAGAAAGTACTTACGACGGAAATGCATTAAGTTACATGCGAACACCTATAGCCCCCTCAATATTTATTGACCCTACGGAGCAAACTGAGGTAAACAACGTTTTCATGAAACTTAAAAAAAGCAAAAGTGAGGACATTAACGGCATAAAAATGGAACCGGTTATCTTTGTTATTGGTTTATTATCACCCTGCCTGACGCATATTTATAATATTGTTTTAAGCACAGGAATGTTCCCTAAGCGGATGAAAAATGCCAAAGTTGCAGTGATTTATAAAGGTGGTGACAAAAATGAAATGAGTAATTACCGGCCAATATCGGTATTACCTATATTTTCAAAGGCTCTAGAAAAAATCATTTTCACTAGATTGTATAAATTTTTGGACTCGAATTCTGTGATTACAACAGCACAATATGGGTTCAGGTCTGGCGTATTGGCGGAAACAGCGCTGTTGCATCAAAAAGAGTCGATACTGGGCAACATTGAAGCAAGAAAGCTAACATTAGGCGTATTCATAGACATTACGAAGGCGTTCGACAGAATTGATCACCAAACCTTGTTAGAAAAATTGCCTTATTACGGGATTAGAGGCATCGCGCTCGATTTATTAGAAAGCTACCTTAGTGATAGGTACCAGTGTGTGTCTATAAATAGGCAAACATCTATGCCCAAAAAAATCAAACACGGTGTACCACAGGGAAGCATATTAGGACCTCTTCTATTTAACCTTTATATCAATGATATTGTAAATGTGGATCACTCAATAACGTACATTATTTATGCAGATGATACAAGCTTATTCTTTACGGGAACAACTATAGACGATTTGATAAAAGCAGCTAATAAAACGTTAGTCAATTTTTCGAAATGGTCCTGCCAAAATTCGTTACAGATCAACAGCTCTAAAACCAAGGCCGTTCTTTTCCGTGCGAAAGGAATGACATGTACGTACACTCAAAAACTGATGCTAAATAATTTCAATATCGAACTTTCAGAGACTGTCAAAACTTTGGGCGTCATCTTTCATCAACATATGTTCTGGAATTCTCACACTGAACAATTGTGTATTAAGCTAAGAAAAGCCCTTGGCGTGCTGAGAAGGTGTCAGTCGTTTCTACCGCTCCCCCAGAAACTTCTTATCTTTAATACGCTTTTTTGTTCTCATCTACGCCATTGTCAGTTGGTATGGGCTTCTGGAACTGAAACATCAAAACAAAAGTTGTATACACTTCAAAAAAGCGCTTTACGGGCTGTTGCAAATATAGGTTACAGAGAACACACATCCCATTTATTTGTCAAGTTTGAGGTTTTAAAATTTTGTGTTGCATATGAACACAACTTGTTGTTGTCTTTGAGGTCTGAAATTCGAAAGAATTGCGCAAACCTGAGAGGCTTAGCACATTTACAGCCTAAAATTTTGTTGCGTCCTATGCGGAGTTCTGAACACTGGCACATCCCCCGACCGCGAACAAATTACGGACTCCAAATGCTAAAGCACTCTGTTCCCCATATACTAAATAAGTTCAAGCTCACAGAACAGCAATTGCGTCTCCTTTCAAGTAGTGATATATTAAACCTGTTTGTATAAGGAGCTATAAACCCAGAAAAATTGCACCCAGTACTTGTAAATGCATGAAATTTTAAGTGTACCCCTTTCTGTTATAGCGTCTTATTTTGGTTCCCTTTTTTCCCAATAATTGTTTGTTTGTAAACATCCAAGTGTGCATCTATTCTGTACTTCATAAACAACCACTAGAATGTTATTTTCTTTTCTTTTTTCTTTCAATCATACGTGAGCACCGTATGGAGTTGGGTGTGCCATTGTTTCTGTTGCCTTGTACAAATGGGAGGTGGGGCTAGTCAAGCTGCTATAGCGCAGCTTTTTTCCTACTTTCCATGCCACAATTGTTTCTTGTTTGTGTAAATCACGGTGTATCGTTGTGGCGAAATAAAATTTCAACTTCAACTTCAACTTCAATGGCTCTGTAATAGCAGGCTCACGTGCAATATCGTCGCTAACAAAGCATGTCGGTGTTAGATAGGCTGAAACCAATGATCCGTGGATGGGGTATGGTCTCCTGCTATGTACTTCACGCAGATATTTTTTTTCTTTCTGCTTCGTCTCACTGTCACGTGGCTAAGATCAGAACCGAAGATAGCATATTGCAATAAAGGATAAAAGTGTGGCTGCACACTAACTGAAAACTTTCACAGGTATAAGAGCTTCTTTTTGTCGCTCGTATTGTTTCTTAGCAAAATTTTGTGTTAGGACGCCTACCATAGTACATCACATGCCTGACTTTTACAAAAAGATGCAAGCAGACGATTTTGAAATAATAGTGAAGATGATTGCAAAACGAAATTTTTTCATCCACTTTTCTGTGTTCTTATTTACATTACATTGGTTCTAATAACTTCCCCTGTGCATTCCTTGGCATTACTGTCTGTTATATCTCATTAATATTGTGTTAAAACACGGAAAAACGAGCCCTTAGGTATACACTTCTTTCCCTTATTTCATTGAACAAGGGTATCGTACTGGCAGACTTGGTGTGTTTAGGTTGTATAAGAGGGACAATTAATCAGCTGCCCGCTCATAATAAGTTCACGTGCTTCGTGACGCCAAAACATGCGCATAAGAGTGTTTTCACACTCGTAGTTTGGCTTATAGATGGCGCTGACTGTCACTCCTACTTCTAAATTCACAGATAAACACAAAAAAGTGGATGGAGGGAGGGCCGCTGTGATAGCTCAGTGGGTAGAGCATCGAACGCGTAATTCGAAGGTGGTAGGTTCGATTCCTGCTCACAGTTGGTAATTTTTTCGTCCACTTTTCTTTCTTCTTATTTACATTCCATTGGTTCTAATAACTTCCCCTGTGCATTCCTTGGCATTACTGTCTGTTATATCTCATTAATATTGTGTTAAAACACGGAAAAACGAGCCCTTAGGTATACACTTCTTTCCCTTATTTCATTGAACGAGGGTATCGTACTGGCAGACTTGGTGTGTTTAGGTTGTATAAGACGGACAATTAAT